GTGTAAATTACTTGATTATCTCGGGTTGTGCTTAATTTATATTCATTATCGGGAAAACAGTTAATTACCTAGGAAAATTGTCTATGGAAATATTTGTTTACATTGTATCAAAGATTATAATCATATCTCTTATCAGGCAGATAATTGTAATTTATTACATGTATTGAAATCTGAACAGTATACCGTTACGGCTATCTTGCCTTTTGTGAGACGACTAGTTCCTCAGGTGGGGCTACTATAAATACATGTTTCATTTGTTAAAATTATACTTTTCTACATTTAAATCAATTATTTATTTCAAAAATTGACAAATATCAAATGGAATTTCTTATTTTACACCTAAAAAAGTCTTCATACAATTTTACTTCCTATATAAGTATACCTACGAGAGTAGGATGATGCATATTTAAAATAAAACATATTTTATTTATTTTATCGAATATTCGAATATATTTGAATACTTTCATTGAATATTCGAATATGAATTATTGACAAAATTGACATCCCTAGATATTTTCCTATATATTTCTATGTAAAACTTTGATCCTCTATAGTGGCCCCACCCTACCCCCAGGGTCATGATTAGAATAAATTTGAATCTACACTACCTGAGGATGCTTCTATATAAATATGACTCATCATGACTCTGCTGTTCTTGAGAAGATTTTTAAAGGTTTTTCTTATATATTTCTATGTAAAAATTTGATCCTCCATTCTGGCCCCGCCCTACCAGCCGGGGTCATGATTTGAACAAACTTGAATCTACACTACCTGAGGATGCTTCCACATGAGTTTCATCTTTCCTGGCCCTGTGGTTCTTAAGAAGATGATTTTTAAAAGATGCTATTAATTTTTCACTAATTCTTTATTATCTCCCCTTGAAAGAGGGTGTGGCCCTTCATTTGAACAAACTTGAATCCCCTTACCCCAAGGATACTTTGTGCCAAGTTTGGTTGAAATTGGCCCAGTAGTTCTAGAGAAGAAGATGAAAATGTGAAAAGTTTACGACAACAACAACAACGCCAACAACGACAGACAATGGACAAATTTCGATCAGAAAAAGCTCACTTGAGCCTTCGGCTCAAGTGAGCTAAAAACAGATTATAGTTCTTTAAAATACATGTATGCTGCGGATAATAATTACGGTTTTTGTATCTAAATTATTGACAATCTTCGCGTAACACTTACGTTTATAAAATATTTTTTTAACATATCATCTTCAGTTTTAATTCTTTTTCTTTCACAATGGATATCAAAATAATTGTCTTCTTGCCTAGAATCTTAAGTTTTAATTTGTTATATGCTTTAATTTTTTAAAAAGAATTAATAGATCATCAAAATCTGCCACTGTACATTGTGTAGTTTCCTGTTCGCTGACTGGGGGCTAGTGGGGACACCTAATTAGGGTCTATTGTCTAACCAGTCGATAAACTGTACACTGTTTATTTTACCCCGCTTCCAAATGTGTATAAATCTGGTCGGATGTCATGTTTAATGTGATGGACTGTTCTTCTGAAAATCGATTTTGAAATAACAATCAATGAAGATTGAATATATTTGGATAAATTCTTACTTCTGCATTATTTTAAAAGGGAAAAAAATAATGGCATTTAACCACGGATTAATTTAAATTATTCATGATAGAATTCAATGATTGGCAATATAAACTATACCTATTTTTTTATATATATATCTTAAACATTTCTGTACTGAGAGAAAAATTAAGAGACTTAGAGATAATATATCTTTTTATGCCCCTGAAATCGAAGATTCAGGGGCATATAGTTTTTGCCCTGTCCGTCCACCTGTCTGTCTGTCTGTCCACAAAAACTTTAACCTTGCCCATAACTTTTGATTGGTTGGAGCTATGGCTCTCATATTTCACATGTGTATTCCTTGTGACAAGACCTTTATTTGGGTACCATCACATTTGACCTTTTGACCTTGACCTAGGAGTTTGACCAACTTTTGCAAACTTTTATGAGATATTAACCTTTGCCATAACTTTTGAACAGTTAGTGCTTGGCCTTTAAACTTCACATGTATAATCCTTGTGACAAAATCTTTCTTTGGATACCAACACCTTTGACCCATTGACCTTGACCTTGGAGTTTGACCTACTTTTGAAAAAACTTTAACCTTGGCCATAATTTTTGACCTGTTGGTGCTATGGCTTTCATACTTCACATGTGTATTCCTTGTGATAAGACCTTTCTTTGAATACCAACAACTTTGACCTTTTGACTTTCACCTTGGAATTTCACCTACTTTAATTTTGAAAAATTTTAACCTTGCCAATAACTTTTGATTGGTTGGATCTATGGCTTTGATATTTCACATGTGTATTCCTTGTGTAGCCCTTTCTTAATTTCCAACATCATATTTGACCTTTTGACCTTGACCTTGGAGTTTGACCCACTTTTGCAAAATTTTATGAGACTTTAACCTTAGCCATAACTTTTGAACAATTGGTGCTTGGGCTTTAAAACTTCACATGTGTATTTCTTGTGATAAGACCTTTCTTTGGATACCAACAACTTTGACCATTTAACCTTGATCTTGGAGTTTGACCTAGTTTTGAAAAAACCTTTAACCTTGGCCATAACTTTTGAACAGTTATAGCTAGGGCCTTTATACATCACATGTGTATGTTTTTTGAAAAGACCTTCCTTTGGATACCAACAACTTTGACCTTTTGACCTTTACCTTAGAGTTTGACCTACTTTAACTTTGAAAAACTTTAACCTTGGCCATGACTTTTTAACAAGACAGTGACAAAACCTTCCTTGGATACCAACATCTTTGACCCTTTGACCTTGATCTTTGAGTTTAACCTACTTTTGAAAAACTTTAACTTCGACCATAACTTTTAAACAGTTGGTGCTAGGGCTTTCATACTTCACATGTGCATTCCTTGTGACAAGATCTTCCTTTGGATACCAACAACTTTGACCCTTTGACCTTCACCTTGGAGTTAGACCTACTTTGGAAAAACTTTAACCTTGGCCATAACATTTGAATGTTTGGTTCTAGGGCTTTCACATTTCATGAACATGTGTACCACTTGTGACAAGACCATCCCTTGGGCACCATTTGACCTTGACTTTGAGGTTTTACTTACTTTTAAAAAACTTTAACCTTCGCCATAACTTTTCAACAGTTGGTGCTAGGGCTTTCATATTTCACAAGTATATTTCTTGAGACAAGACCTTTCTTTGGGTACCAACATTTTTGATCTCTTGACCTGGAGTTTGACTTGCATTTGAGAAACTTTAACCTTCCCCATAAGCTGCCATGCGGGGCATCAGTGTTTCACAAACACATCTTGTTTTCCAAAAGAAAATGACTCTATATTAAAATATTTCCTATGAATCTGGCAGCTGAACGTGGCTCTCCATAAACAAAAGAAAAATACATGGGGTTTTTTTTTTTTAAATTAATATATATTATGTGTTTATGGATAAAAATAATTTTAAAACAAGTTTCAAACAAACTGATTTTTGGTAGCGAAAATTTTAAGGCATTTGCTGAAGCTGTTTTCAGTGCTGAGTTTATACGCATTGACAAAGATGTTAGAAATAGCTAGACATATTATGAATTGAATAAGATTTTGCGTAAATGATATTGAAACAACTTTAAAACTTAGCGAGTTAGTTTAAAGACTTGATAAAGGATGCGTAAAGGTGGTTTAATTAAGTTTGGACATTAAGCACCTAGAAGCTGCAGCTTAATAGTGGCTTAATAGTGGCTTAAAGGAATTAACTTCTATAAGCCACCATTAAGCTACCATTAAGCGATTGCTTAAAGATGGTCTTTTGTCCTGTGAATACCCAGAAGCAGAGAAGAAGATTTTCAAGGAATTAATACATTTTCATGATATAATCAATAGAGCCCCACCCTAACACCAGAGCCCCTGACCCAGGGGCCATGAAATTCAGCATTTTGGAAAAGGAATCACTGCTTATCATAACCATGTTCGCAGTTTGTTTCAATAATACCAAGGAGTAGAGAAGAAGATATTCAAAGAATTAATGCATTTTCACTATATGATCAATAAAGTCCCCCTTTAACACCAGAACCCCTGACCCAGGGGCCATGAAATTCACAATTTTGGAAGAGGCAACCTTCCTCATCATAACTATGTACTTAGTTACTTTGTTTAATATCCAGGAGTTGAGAAGATTTTCAAAGAAATAATGCACTTTCACTACATGATCTACACAGCCCCACCCTAGCACCAGAACCCCTGATCCTGCGTTCAAGAATTTTATAATTTTGGTAGAGGACTCAATGCTTATCACAATCATGCCAACAGTTTGACTGCTTGATGACCAAGAGTAAAGAAGATTTTTAAAGATTGCATTAATATTGGTGGTTTTAGCCCCACCCCTCAAGCCCCAGGGAGGCAGGGACCATGAAATTAACAATTTTTGTTCCCCTTCACCAATAGATGCTATATGCCAAAATTGGTTCAGCGGTTCCAGAGAAGAAGCTGAAAATGTTCAAATGTTAATGCATGACAACAAACAAAAACAGTTAGCAACAGGTCAGGTGACCTAAAAAAATGAAATGATGAGGATTTCTTAGGAAAGTGAGATTTTTTTCAAAGTGCTATTAACTTTGTTGTAAGAGTCCTGGTGAGCTGTATGTAAAAACAATTACCCCATCAAGCGAAATGTGTTTTTGACAATAAACATTTAAGAGGCACAAGGTATGATAGTCTGATAAATTTCTGAAAGTAATTCCCCTGTTTTATAATTGGTTATTTGCCCTCTCACAGATTCACAATAGAAAACAGATTTACCAATATTCTCATTTTATTTTCTGAAGAGTTAAAGCAGCACCTAATTTTTCAAATGGGGTCATTTATTTGAGAATAACTGCCATATATGATACAAACCCTCATTTGACTATGTTTCCTTGACTGCAATAAATACTAAAATGGGTCTGGTGACTACCAATTTTCAATATTTTAAGAAGATTCATATAGTGGTACAAACCCTCATTTGACTGATCTGTCTCCCAGCTGCAGTGAATACCGAGACAATAGGTTTGGTGACCACCTGTACTTGAGCTGTTTTAGCTTCATCCTTCAGCAATGCTTCAAAGATAAATTTTCAACATGTACAAGCATTAAAACATGATTGTGATGTTAACCATTTGTTTGGGTTGTCCATTCTATAGCTTATTGTTGTGCTAACTCCTAGAACAATCTATTCTAGGACTTATTAACTGCTCTTAAAAAATCGCAATTTTATGAAAAATATTATCTACAACCTTGTTTATTAAAATACTGAATACAGTAAACATTGCTGAAAGCATATTTTAAAGTTGATATTGAGAGTTGAAGTTCAAATACGTTGATATGCATATTTCAATCAGATTTTGATGAAATACTTCTCCGACATCATCGACAACAATTCAGTGATAGAGAGCTAAGAAATTGGACACTGTTAACAGAGTTATCAACAACAAATGCAGTCTAATTACAAACAAGTGTATATTAGTAATGCAACATGAAAAGAGCTAGGTTCACTTTATGCATAAAATGGCCTGTTCTTGTATCAATTAATTTACTATCACACTATGTCCCATTTCATATATCAAAATAAAGTAGATTCGTAGCGCTCTCATTTCCTGTAACAAAATTTCTTTTTGAGAATTCAGGTATTGGAAAACAGGCTTTCTGAAAATGCAATGTTCTTGAATTTTGCAGAAAACAGGCATATTTGACTACATACAGCAAAGAATTAAAATATGAGCACAGCCCTCAATCCAAAAATTAAAATGTTTTATGATCTTAGGAAACAGACCTTTCATTACGCAACTGCATATTTTGGATCAGAGGTTGTGCTCTATATAAAATATTGAAAAATACTCCAACTTTTGGTCATTTTTAAAAGGAATTTACAGGATATGGTAAAAGTGATGTTTTTCATGACGTCATAATGCATTGACTATGGAGAAAATTATGTTATGTTCAATAGATACATGGTCACCAAGGGTCCAAGTGATAAATACTGCATTGTCAACCAAAACTGAGCAGTTTTGATTTTTCAGAAACTCTGAGGGCGTGAAAAGGCCCTAAGTGGCCCCTGCTCTTTGTATTAGTGTATGAAGTTTTATAAGAATATCTTGGAATAGTTTCTTTAAAATTGAAATTGAAATCTAAAAAAATGAATATAAATGATAAAGCCTCACCAAATTATGTATAAGTGCATAAGCTTACATTAAATTATCTTAAATGGTTTCTTTAAACTAAGCAAAATGCAAATTAAAGAAAAGTGAGGTCAAGGTCACAGGAAAGTGAAAGGTCAAAAGTTTTTGATTTAGTTGATTAGCTCTAACTAATACATATCAGCTTATAAAGTTTGATAAAAATATCTTGACTGGATTCTTCAAAATTGAGCTAAACACTTATATAAGAAAAGTGAGGTCAAGGTCAAAAGAAAAGTAAAGGTCAAAAAATGTTGATGCATTTGCATAGCTTATATCAGTATGTATTAGCATATGAAGTTTGATAAAAATATCATGAATGATTTCTTGAAAACTTAGCAAAATGCAAATTAAAGAAAAGTGAGGTCAAGGTCACAGGAAAGTGCAAGGTCAAACATTTCTGATGCAGTTGAATAGCTCTCACTAATTTGCATGCAAGTTACATTGAAGTTAAAGCAAAACTATAGAAGGAGCAGCATTTTGAATGTATTTCACAGAAATTTGTATTTCTAGTAACCATGGCAACACTTCACCAAAATTAAAAACTGATAAACAGAATTATGTATCTCAGTGTAGTCTACTTGTGTGCCAAATACTTCTGAAATCAGACCGAACTATAGGAGGAGTTGCATTTTAAAGGAATTTCACAGAAATTTCTATTTTTAGTAACTATTCTCAGTGCATTATTTCTTTGAAAATCGTCTTCTCTGCTCCTGGGTATTAAATAAACTAACTAAGTATATAGTTATGATGAGTAAGAGTGCCTCTTCCAAAATTGTGAAATTCATGGCCCCAGGGGCAGGGGTTCTGGTGTTAGGGCGGGGCTCTATTGATTATATAGTGAAAATGCATTAGTTCTTTGGAAATCTTCTTCTCTGCTCCTGGGTATTAAATAAACTAACTAAGTATATAGTTATGATGAGTAAGAGTTACTCTTCCAAAATTGTGAAATTCATGGCCCCAGGGGCAGGGGTTCTGGTGTTAGGGCAGGGCTCTATTGATTATACAGTGAAAATGCATTAGTTCTTTGGAAATCTTCTTCTCTGCTCCTGGGTATTAAATAAACTAAGTATATAGTTATGATGAGTAAGAGTGCCTCTTCCAAAATTGTGAAATTCATGGCCCCAGGGGCAGGGGTTCTGGTGTTAGGGTGGGGCTCTATTGATTATATAGTGAAAATGCATTAATTCATTGAAAATCTTCTTCTCTGCTCCTGGGTATTAAATAAACTAAGTATAAAGTTATGATGAGTAAGAATGCCTCTTCCAAAATTGTGAAATTCATGGCCCCAGGGGCAGGGGTTCTGGTGTTAGGGCGGGGCTCTATTGATTATATAGTGAAAATGCATTAATCCTTTGAAAATCTTCTTATCTGGTCCTGGGTATTAAATTCAGTAATTAAGTACATAGTTATAATGAGCAAGAGTGCCTCTTTCAAAATTGTGAATTTCATGGCCCCTGGGTCAGGGGTTCTGGTGTTAGGGTGGGGCTCTATTGATTATACAGTGAAAATGCATTAATTCTTTGAAAATCTTCTTCTCTACTCCTGGGTATTATTGAAACACATTAAATACATAGTTATGATAATCAAGGATGCCTCTTTCAAAATTGTGAATTTTATGACCCCAGGTTTAAGGGTTCTGGTGAAGAGGGGGGGGGGGGCTTCTATTGATTATAAAGTGAAAAAGCAAAATTTCTTTGAAAATATTCTTTTCTTCTTCTGGTTAAAAAAGCAAAGAAGCTAAGTGTATAGTTATGATGAGCAAGTGTGCTTCTTCCAGAGTAGTGAACTTCATGACCCCTGGGTCAGATGTGCTGGTGTGAGGGTGGGGCTTTTGATAATTTAGTGAAAATGCATTAATTCTATTAAATAATCCTGTTTGCTCCTTAGTGTTAAGCAGATAAACAAAGTGATTAGTTATGATGAGCAAACATATGGTCCCAGGGTCAGAAGCTCTGGTGTTTTGGGGGTGGGGGGTTGGGGTTGGGGGCTCTATTGATGATATAGTGAATCTGTAGTAAAAATGCATTATTTCTTTAAAAATCTTCTCCGCACCTGGGCATATCTGAGGCAAACAGAGTAAAAGTTTTTATAAGGAAGGGAATTTTTACCAGATTTTTGAACATCTGGACCATTTGGTCAAGTGTTCTGGTCCTGGCCAGGGCTCTATTAGTTTGTATTCTACTGAGAGGAGTTATTCCATTTACTTGTGATAATTAATCACTGTAAATAGTGTACTTGAAAGGTAAATAGAATAAGAGAATTACGCAAAAACTTTTATTGTATAATACAAAAAGTACTTTCATAGTTTTAATGATCAGATAGACTTGTAAGTAGTAGATAAATAAAAATGAGACAAAAATAACTTGTCTTATTCATCAAAGACCAAGAGATGCCAATGTAAGAGATTTCAACAAAGGATTAAAATAGTACAGAAGCATTGATAATTTGTTAATATACTGTATAGTGATAGTGATAAATGGGGAACAGATTAGAACCTAATTTATGAACTGTTCATGAATATTAAGACCAATTATTTTGTTGATCATGATCACCCTATTTTTCTTGCTTTTGGGCAACAAAGCTTCACCTTTCAGTTCATTTTATACTCTATGCATCCTTTAAATTGTTGTATCATACTCAGGTGACCATTAAGGCCCTTGGGCCTAGGGTTGGATACCGGTACTCGGTACCAATACCGTACCGAATAGTTACTTCAAAAATACCGGTAAAATACCGTTTCATTTAATACCGGTACTAATAACGATACTTCTTAATCTTTAAAACATTTTAGTTCATTCAATTTGATTTAAAAAATAAACATTCCAAACTTGCTAAAATCGAATTCTCCGCTCTTTGAAAGGGTAGGCTAATTACATTAACGAAATGGATTCTTAGAAAGATACTTACTTTCGACTGCCGATATTCGAGGTAAATCAATACGTATATATTTTTTTTTAAAAATCAAAATATGTTCACATGAATCTTATTTTAATTTTAAAGATAAAAACTGATAATAAATGTAAATTAAAAAGGCAAAATGTCGCAAAAAATGTGATCTATCCATTATCTAATGTTTTGTCATTTAGTGCGACCAAACAACAGGGGCCCTGACAACCGGATGAAGCAGTCAGCCGATTTGGCAAATTAATTTGTTTGGGATTCAATTGATTTGTTTTGTTGATCATTTATTTATTGAAAAGTTGAAATGAAATGTTTGTAATTTGAATATAAGGAATATCTATTTTTATATCTTAAAAGCATGGAACAAAGTTTATAAGCTCATTTTAGATTATACCATTGAAAGGTTAGTGAATGGTGAAAGCACATTTGTTATAAAATGAACCCTCATTCTCATTCATCAATGCATGGTACCGTATCGTTAAAAATACCGTATCGTTTCAAAAATACCGGTATGGTATCGTACCGTTTCATCCTCAACGGTATCCAACCCTACTTGGGCCTCTTGTATTTCTTAATTATTTTCTGTTGGAAGAGAATGTGGTCATTCATTTGATCAACAACGTTTGGTTGATACTGACCCAGTGATTCTTGAAAAGATAAGACTGAGAAGAAAATTACAAGTACCAGGTTTACAGTGACAACGTCGATTATGCTTACACCGAGAAAGCCAACATCGAAGTCTGAGAACAAATTGTGAGCAGAAAATCTTACTTAGCCTTTGGCATGAGAGATGGGGTACTACGAAAGCCCAGAAGGCTCATTCGAGATTCGAGTTTCGAAATACGAGATTCGAGATTCGAAATTAGAGTTTCGAGATTCAAGATCCAAACTAATCAATCAAAAGGCGGATTCAATATTTGATTACTTCCCTTTATTACGTTTTTACTATCAAGAAATCACTGAATCTATTTATAACAAATG